CCCCAAGACCGAAACACCTAACGGCAGAAACCCAAACTGAACCCACTAGAGGCCAATGGCCGCAACTCAAATCTATCATAGGAACCCCTAGGCCATATGACGAGGGCCAGGAGGAGGGAGCCGAAGCCCCGGGCGCAGAGGGTATAAGGGAAACCACCCCGAAGGCGGTGATCGAGAAGCGAGGAGAGGAGGTGTGTAGCAGGCGTGCCAGCAACCGTGTGTCCTCCGGGATATTCGACGATTGAGGCAGTAAGGTGCCAGCTTGAGAGGAGGTGGTAGTAGGGTACCAGCCGATCCGACCGTGGAGAGGAGCCCTAAGCGAAGCAGGTGTTTTACCGCGTCTCTCATGTAGTCCCTTGTTCTGGGAGAGATAGCGTCACTGTAGTGGAAGGGATCCCACCACCTGCCAGCCAAAGAGGCCCCAAAGAGTAGAGGAGGGGTAGACCCAATTCCGTGAACGACAACTATCGGTAACCGCGTTCGTGTCCAACTAGGCAGCCTCTTGCCGGGGCAAGAGAATGGAGAGATCGACCGTAGCCTGTAAGCTGTTCTCTCCTACTGCAACTGTAGTCCCGGCCGTCAGTTGAAGGTGGAAAAGGGGGTTGCCGACCGTGCCAACGCCAAAGCGAGGTGGGGTAGGAAGAGGGGAAACATCACGAAGATGAGAGGCCTCAACCAGGGATGGAACCGACGGAATCAAGAAATAAATCAGGACCCCAAGGGAGAGGGGAAGCGAGCCCACCTCCTGTAGCCGAGGCTAGATGGAGGGAGATGGGTGGGGGTGGTGGTGCTAGACGATGAAAGCCACGATAGTAACCATGATGTTGAGTTTTCAATCGCCGGAGGTGTAGCGGAGACGGAGGATGGACTTAAAGCTAGGGAGACACCTCGATATTTATAATCCATGTTTGGGTAATCGCAGGCTACATCTAATCCCTTACTGACTATGTACCTGCCATACTAAGGATTCAGGGTCATAGGAGTACGAACTCTGTTTGACCCGGAAAACTAAATTCCCCGCTCTCTTCCTGAGCGGCATGATCAGCTCCGTCAAAGGACTTATCAATTACTCTTCTATGTGCATAGCATAGAGTGCATGATGAAGAAAACTAACTTGTCAAACGAGATGTTATTGAACCAATCGTGCACTTGTCTTCCGGATAACTTAGTTTATACGAGCTAAGGCTGGTGCAACTTCTTCTTCGGAATCGCAGCACCAAGACTTCTGGAGGTCATAGCTTAATAACTAACTAACCAATCCGTTTCAACCAAGTCTTATCTTATAGAGCAAAGCTCCTTCTATCTTATCCAGTGAAAACCCCTCTGTTGTATGCCTTGTATCTCCGCGGAGCGGGTTGCATAGATGCCTTATTGTTCATTGCGATAATACAATATTGTTACAATAACTACAGCAGGGCCCAGAGGAGAACACATGACCTTATGCATTTAGTCACGTGCCATACCGATTATGTTTCTATGTATAACACCATCCAGCAGAGGCGAGATGCCAGATAAGGGAAGGAGTAGAAGAAAGCTCCCGATGGGCAGAGGGATGGAAAGAAAAAGCCTGCACACCCTGGCGGGAGGGTGCATCGCTATAGGAATGTGGTGATGATTCCTTGGTGTTGACTCATTCCTAATTAGGAAATATTTTTCACTGACCGGAGGTGTAGCGGAGACAGAGGATGTTCTGAAAGCTAAGGACTTTTCTTTTTTTTGTTTAACTCATATATTCTTTGTTAAGATACAAGAACCTGCATGGAGCGCTAGCTATGGCAAAACCAAAACCTTAATTCCAAACGCATTCCCCCGCACCCCAGGGACCAAAACAACCCCCCCAAGACCCTCTGGTGTGGGCCTAACCGCACATCCCACCCTATACAGGAACAATCGTCCTCCACAGGGAAGGCAGGAGAGGGCAGAAAACCCTTCAGCGTCATCTCGACAAAGGAAAGAATAGATTAGGAAACCCCCCAGTGCCTCTACAGGAGTCCACGAACGAATGTGTCCGCTGTCAGACCCACAATAGGACCTTGGCGAGATGCCATGACAGGGCCGGTCAGGTCAACCCAGGAGATAGTGCAATACCATGGTATGCCAACCGGTCGTTCGGCCAGGCGCGGGCCGAAAGGGTGGAGGGAGGAAGACAGGCGAGAGATGCCAGCAACCCGTGATAGAGGAGGGCAGCTGATACTGGCAAGGAGGGAGGGGGTAGACCCTAGCCGTGAGGAGTCTGGTTGTGGAAAAGGTTAGATAGTACCTGTAGTGACACTAGAGCCACGAAAGAGTTGTAGAGCGGCCGTGAGGGTGGCAGAAGTGAGAGCCGCACCATGTGATACTGGCGCGGAGGGGAGGCAGGAGCGGTAGGCCGAAGCACTACTACCTCAGTGCCGATGGGGCCCGAAGGCCGAGGCAATAGCGTGCCAGCAGATCTTGGCAGTAGGGTGCCAGCCGATCCCAGAGGAGAGGAGAGGAAGAGGGCAAGGTAGCAAAGATCTGGCCAAACAATATGGTAGGAGGCTGCAAATAGGGTCACAGAAGTAGGCAAGGCTACTCCTGATAGCCCAGAGGACCACCATCCCAACTGACCATCCTGCCATCACGAAGCCGTCAAAGCTGACCGTGTTGATGCTAAGCGAGGTGAAGCAACAGCACGGTAGAGAGGATAGAGATCTTATGATGAGGCCCCCTGGGTGAGGAGAGGACCCCCATCCAGTAGAGGTGAGATGCCAGATGAGGGAAGGAGTAGAAGAGAGGCCCCCATGGGCAGAGGGATGGAAAGAAACAGCCTGCACCCCCCGGCGGGGGGTTGCATAGCTATAGAAAAGTGGTGGTGATTCCTCGGTGTTGAGTCATTCCCAATTAGGAAATATTTTTCAATGACCAGAGGTGTAACAGAGATGGAGGATGTTTTCGAAAGCTAAGAAGGCACGTTGATATTTATATTCCACGTCTGGGTGGTCACAGGCTACATCTATCTATTACCAAGTAATGTACCATTCCTAATTTCCATCCCCTACTATCATAGGAGGATCCGTTTGACACTGACAAACTTTGTGTGTTGCTCGGACTACAGTCTCCATGCGTTGTCATGTTTCCACGAAGGCGTTTGAAACCCCTCCGCCGAAAACGCATGATTTCTTCATCTCGGAGGTTTAGGTATGAGTAAGTGGTCTCGCTTCAAGCCAACTCACTATCCTCCTTACTCGGACTAGAGTGATCAGGTCCATCAAGAGTCTTATCAAATGCCCCTTGACTTCGCAACTTGACTGCATTGACTTCGAGGACTTTCCACCACAATCGGACTAGTCAATGTCGTGGAAAAGCCCTTTGTCCACAGATAGGTCTCTGGTTGGCTCTATACTGTGCGAGCACTAGACTGGGCTCCGTGCCTCGCCCATACAGACACATCTCAGTAACTCATTGGACTGTTGGCGATTCCGTCCCAACACCTTCTGTCCATGTCTGAGGTGGTCAACTTCGGTTAGCTCATAGCTCTATGGTTACCTATCTGATTGACTCCATTCCACTTTTCAGACATGGCCTAAGGTCCCCTCTTATATATCCTGCACATAGCTTTCGGTCGGATGAACGGTGACGATGTATCCGGTGTTGTGAAGCATGCTTCATTTTTACCAGTTTATACTGTCGGGATACCAAATTCTGGCGACACTATTACTGTCCGCCAGGCCAACGGCGGGGCCGGAGCGGGGTGTTGGCTATGAAATCTTCGGGGTTTTCAGGAGGTCTGTGCGCCGGGGAGGTCTGTGCTAGTGGTTTCATGTGTGTAACAGGAGTACACTCCCACTTGTAGTACCATTAGTCTTAATTTCTGCCCTCTTTGAAATGCAACAACCAGACCTCTAGTGCAAACGTGATCCTGTCTATATCTGTTATAACTCTACTCTCTCACTCGGAAACCTTTCCCCAATACCTACTCCTACGATCCTCGTCACTCTAGAGCTTTCCCCATCCTGTACGAAATCTAGCCCAAGGGGAGCGAGTGAGATTCCATGATCATGCTCTACGATAATCCTCCCATGTATCTCTAAACCTAATCCTCCTTCTCCTTCCTTCTTTCCTTTTTACTCTTCCCACCCAACCTCTTCTAAAACCCCCCGCATGCCCGTGTTAGACAACCTGGCTCCTGTTCTCTATCTCTTCTTTTCACTCTGGTCGCCTAAAACCACGAAAAAAATACCGGTGATCATCCATGACTACGGCAGAGCGCGAGACACATTGACCTTCCTTCTGTATCCCAATTACGTTTGAGTCCACGGCCTCCTGGACCGCCCCATGCCAATTTGAGACCAGGTTCGGCTTCCCCCCAACCCTTCCAATCGCTATCCGGTGACTTCTACCTCGTCGTAACCTGATCCCTAGGGTCGTACTCGTACACGCCCATTACGGCTATTTCTACAAAATAGGGCACCCATTGAGGCATTGGCTCTCCAGATCACTTACATTTCCCTTGATCTAATACTTTCAAGAAGTTAGCACGAGCAAGCGGTACTGCAAGAATTTGCTACCCAAGCGGGCGGACACCCTATCCCCCACCGTACGGCAGCAACCAGAAAACCGCAATTATAGAACCCATGGCAATTAATCACTCGAAATCAGTCAAACCTCCGTGATATCATAAACTTTAGAAATCCTCCGGACAACATCACCTTTACCACCCCCTAAAAGTCAAGAATGTATGCAAAAATTTAATGCTTCGCATAAAATTACACCCATCTATCACGGCCCAATCCTCCTCACCTTGACCACTGCAGCATAAATACACACCCGCCATCAGCCCAGGCGCAAAAAAGTTCAACGAGAAGGAAAAGTGGAAAAGATGCCAATGTGATACCCCTAATGAAATAACACCCAAAAAAAAAGCAGTCACTCAGAGAACGTGAAAGGAACTGCTAAAAGGAAAAAATAGTAAAAGGAGCCAAGGAAAAGAGCATAAACGTTGTTACCAGCAGTCGAATAACCAGTTCCCCTCCACTCTATGTTAAGGCCTCGTCTGGCTCCCATGGAACCTTGGTTCTTAACTCGGCCTCCTCTGCCGCATGCCATTGCTCAGTTTCTTCCTCATCCGTGTTTCTCCTGGCAAGTCTCTTGCGATCTCGCTCCCACTGACTACCCTCTTCGGGAGGAGGGGACGAACTTCCTCGCCTGGGTATGCCAGGTGAAACTGAGGCCGAAGCCGAGGACGATTCATTTCCGGGAAACATGATATTCGATCCCAAACTCTCACTTCCGCCCCCCGCGGTGTAACTGTCGCCCTCCTCGGCTACAGCAGAGGAAGGCGTTGTGGGTTCCGAGTCTGGTGCAGCAACAACCAATAATTCATCAGATCCCGTTCCACCAGCACTCCTTGGCGGGACTGGCGGGGCGAGTGTTTGGTGCTTCGGCTTGTTTCGAGCAGGCAGGAGCGGAGGTGGCACGGCTCTCCGCTTGGGCACATTTATGGGCGGAGTCTTCCTGGTTGGGGGGAGCGGGATTTCTGCCGGGGGAAGCCTTCGCACACTCTGAGTCGCCGCATCCACTGGGGCTTCTCCAGATACATTTCGGGATTTATACCAATTCTTCACTGCTGTGGTTAAGGAACCAACCGCTGCTACCGTCATTTTTTCAGGTGTGGTCTTAATTGGGTGTGAGTTAAGTGTAGAGCTTGAACTCGATGCATTTGTCATCGTTCTTGCGAGAAAGCTCGGAGCGGGACTATTTGATAGACTACCGTTTGGGGTTGGGGGGCAAACCGGGTCCCTATCAGCCCGCATCGCTGGTTCATCCGCTTCGGCCTCTGAATATATCGAGGAACGACTACTCTTTTCCGATCTCTGGTCATTCGAAATCTCTGCGGAGGATTCCGAGTTTTGCGACAGTTTGGTTTTGGAAGGTGGTGTCCCCACAGGGTGAGAATTGGTCGAAGGTGAATTCGGACTCGAAGACGAGCGGGAACGACTCATTGCGATTACAGCAGAGGTTGCAGTGCCCTTATCGACAACATTGTCTTTACCCCATACTGCTGTAACATTCACTGCATCAGTACCCACAACTGGTGACGGAGGTGCCATGGACGTTAAAGACTGTGCTCTGCTCGACTTCTTCTTCCGCTCACCATTACTGGACTTCAATCCAGGAGATTTCGGCGCACGTGAACTTTCTGCACTTTCGCTTAGGCCAATCGCCGAGGCTGCCCTCTTGCTATCCATCCCAAGGGCTGCTTGTGGGAGGGACGGCACGCTCACCGACTTGTCGGGGGTCTCTCCCAGGGGTGGGTCGGCGGGGGCTCGCGCTGCTTCCCCGTTATCTTCCTTCTCCACACCATCAACAGAACCCCTCTCGGCCGCGGAACCCTCCTCCGAGGGCCCGGAGGGAGCAGGCTCTTCCCATATACCACCTCGGACCTCTTGATACATGGTATCCGTAAACGGGGTGTCATCGTAATGAGGGAGAACCAGTGTTTCTGCTATTACTTCACGTATGCGGCCCTCAATAGTTCGCAGGACAGGACCCCAAATGACCTGCCGAGAACCAACAATGGGTTCAATATCGAGCTCCATCTTGGGCATGGTCCCAAAAGCTATCCATAATCTATTGCTTGGTGGAGGCTTGATCCTAATCAGGACATGGCCCTCCAGTCTTTTGAGGGTAACACTGAGTACCAAGTTGACCTCCCTTGGTTTAAAGCGAGAAGCCAACTGCAGAGTGGCCTTGGCAGCCACCTCCTATCCATGCAATAAGCAAATCCGCATGCAATAATAGCGGGGGAAATTATTAATCAAACTTACCAGCCGGAAATTTCCATCATATGTAAGGTCCGCCTCCGCGCAGAAATCACCATCCACCGTCATTTCCTTCAACCGGGGGTTGGTGATGGAAGGAACCCCTTCACCGACATGAACCTTCTGTAATACTATATTGGAAAGAAAATTAGGTTTATTGACTCGCGCTATCTTTTTCGTTATCCTTGCCCGTATGAACTTCTCAACATCGGAGGTCTTGTAGATAGCCAGGAAGACGCGCCCAAGTAATCCATTCACCCAGTTGGTTTGTAAATGTTCCTCCGATGAGTGCAACCGCCGGACAAGCGACAGGACGTGCTCTTGCTCATACCGGAGGGGTATAGGCGGGGTGATGATTTCATCGGACTTTTCCAGATTCTTTAGAAGTGCAAAGTAAAAGTCCTCTTTGAGAGAACAATTTTCCGAGAACAAGTAAAACGGCATAGCATTTTGACCCATATCAAGCGCTTTATCGAGAGCACTGCCTTTCCTTGAAAGGCAAATGGCATTCCGACGAATGTAGAGCTCGCCCTCCGGTATTTCCTCGCCTCCGCCGTAGATACTAACCGAATAGAGGCTCAGCGAGATAACATGTCGAACCTCAGACTGATCCGAGTCGTCATAAAGCATAAGATGACCATGTCTGCAGGAGTCAGTCAGGAAAAGGGGTGGGGTAAAACATTAGATTCAGCAGGAAACCCACCTAAGAACAACAAAGAATTCATTGCGTGCTCTACGGCCAGCCTTCTTCGCAGCATCGGCAGTAGCGGGACTACCCTTTCTCTCGAAGAGGCTACGATACATAGTTTGATAAACCGAAGGCGATTCGCTAACAGGATGGGTATTGCCAGCCGGGGACGTCCGTTCCGGAGGCTTCCCATTCACACCGCCGGGAACGAACTCTCTCGTAACAGCAAAGTAACCGTCAGCAACATCGGCAGAGCTATTGAGGCGTTTGACAAGCTTCTCATCGTCCGTTTTGAAAATCCTATTGTCATCGGTCTCGAGTTTGAGTTCCGGAACAGGTTCACCGAGCGCAGCTATCGGAAAGGTAAGGTAAGCATATAGAAACAGGAGCCCCAACAAAAGAGGCAAAAGTGTAATCCCTCCAAGCAGGTAAGCGATAAGGAAAGACAGAAAGGAGCTCATGACTAGAGCAGGGCGTGTTCAGCGAGCATGGAGAGCTAGACAAGGAAGCGAATGAAGAAAGTAAAAACAACAACAACAGAGAAACGGAAAGATGGTCCGTAAATTATTGTTGGGGGAGGAGGGTGGAAGGATGTGGGGGGGGGGGGATAGGGTGGATACGCGCAGTGGCGCCGTGAAGATGGATTGTATGGTCGATGGGGCACTACAGTATCACCGAGGCTGGTGTCAAAGATACGTATTGCGCGGGTATGGTATGGTACGAGTACGGGTACAGAGTTACGAGAGTTCTGGGCACAAAGCTGAGAAGAACTGGAGAGACAGATGCAACGAAAAGCACGAGTGAACGTCTCTCTACGCAATGACACCGGTGGCCCTTGCAACTTTTAGTGGGATGGAGACGTGTGGCCCTCACGGCATCACGGGTACCATACGGTATTGGAACAGCGTTTGAGTACAGTACTGGTGCGTTACAGCTGTGGAAGAGAGAAGGCGCGAGAGCGGAAGATAGCGTGTGATACCGGTACGAGTGCCGTATGTCAGTATCACACCGGTTCTTGAGCACTGGTACAAGTACCGGTACTGACGTCCCATCTGGAGCAGCAGAGCCGCGACAAGCATCATATCATAGGAGGAACGCCTAAACGCCCAGACACTCCCTGGTTGGCCAACTGAGGCTTGTTGTACGGGTATCCTTCGTCACGGTGGAAGCCACAGATCACCATGAATCACGCTTGACTCGGTGAACGCACCCCTCACCTCAGCCTCATCGATTCTTCCGCTAAGAACTTGTGATCCTGGGAAAATCTCCGGAAGCATCTCAGCTGGATGAGTTCAGTTAAAATGCCAACTTGGCGCCAAACACCGTAAAGTCGGGTCATGATACCGGGAGGTGAGGCGAGACCCAGCCCCCATCATCGGCCAGGGAGACCTGTGCCCGCAAGTCACGCTCTCGTGCCCTGAGTGATCATCAACCAAAATGCCAGCACCCGCACTTCGCGAATCTGATTTACGTGACAAGGCCGCCGGTATACCGGTAGTCTAACACAGCGCTCGCATACAAATTAAATTTAGACGATGGCACTACGCGACAAGATATCGAAATCTCACCACCTAAGATGGCAATACTGGAGTCCAAATGTATGATACCCGTGCCGGTAAGTGGATAAACCCCCGTTGTACTTGTACTGAACGGCCCCCTATCTCTATCCTATCACTTCCCTGCTCCAGCTTCCCTTTCAGCCAAAACACGTTTCCCCCATCTGTACTCGTACAAGTTGCCAGTGATGAGGTGTGAAGCACAGCACTCGTAGATTTCGCCAGAGAAACACCTTCCGCTCACCCACGTCGGGGGTGAAATCATCGAATCACGGTCGAGTACATGTTGGAAAAGGCTTCCCACATGGGTCAAATCCAGCGGTGCATGTTGCCACATTGAAGATTTTATCTGTCAACCTGTCAAGCTACGGTTTTACCCAATATCAGTACAATACCGGTACCCCCTTCCACATTTCAGGCCATCCCAATCGCCGCCTATCTTCATCCCCTTGTTTCCACAGGAGATTCACCAACAGCAAAGTCAGACTACGAGCACCCTATTGTGCTGCTCCGGGTACCGGATTATCTGTCCCTACTACTGCCCCCTACTCCACCGGTACTCGCTTTCCCTCTCCCCCTGCCCGTATCGGTCTCCTCCGTCCCTCACAACCCGGTCTGCAGAGCGTAGCCAGTGGTCGTGATCCTATATCCGCCAGCACTGTGGATGTCGTACCGTTGCGATTCTCTGCTGGTTGCTTTTGCTACCTCTTCCCCTTTCTCCAATTTTCCATTTATTTTTTTGCTACTTTTCCCTTTCCTTAACAAACAGGGAGCGTCCTTGGGTCTGAGCCAACTCTCCCCTCTCCTGGAGTTTTCGGCAAACCCTTCTGCAGCTTCCCCATCTTTACAGTAGCTCCCGACCTCCTGCCATCCCCTTGCCCCGGCCATACACAGACCACCGCTCCACACCACACAGTCAACCCCAGCCATCATCCATCTACTCGACCGCAAAAATCGCCCGTCCACGATCCCGCGACGCTGTTTGTTCTGGGACTTCGCCTCCCAGACACAGAGCACCGCATCTACTCACCATCCTACCACTTCTACGCCCACGCATGCAATACACACACACGCACCACCTCACAACCTAGTAAGTTACCACAGAACTCCTGGACCCTCGCTCCCTACAACCATCTCGCCCTACCTTACCCTAACCCGCCGCCACGCCTCCCCGGATCGCCAAAGAAATTTTGGATCATCCCTTTTTCATCGTGCTTGTGTTTGCTCCCTACTCGTACTGTACCTGTTGCCCACACACCCCTACCCACCTTCCACCCGAACACATTTCCCCCCTTCGTTCCTCCGAAAAATAAATAAAATACCAGTGGCTGTCCCCTTTTCTCCCTCTTATATCAAACATCGATACCATACCCCCCCCCCCCCCCTCGTTTTACACAAACTTCTACATCATATCACCCTCCCTCATAACTTTGAACCCAGACACCCACATCTTTATACTCTACCCCGCTGACAGATATTGTTGCTTCTGCTACCTGAAGATTATAATATCTTGTCTTCCCTTGTGTAACCTATGCCCCCCCGACCTTGGGCGTGTTTCTCTAACGCACCAGTCAGATTTGCCAGCCACAATCCGCAAACCCAGCTCGGAGACGTGCACGACCGAGCAAACAACCCGACCCTCGAATATTCCCCCCTTGTGGCTCTAACTAAATTATCCTCTCCTCAGCCTTTTTGCCGACAGACAAACTCATTCCGTCTTGAACTCCCTTGATCCGGCCGCGCACATTCGCGTGCGGTTACATAGCAGCGTATGACCGCCGTGGCTCAGCCGCCGAATTTCCATTCTGTTCCCAGGTCATGGAATGGGGGTGGGCAAAGTAACCTCAATTCGATGACCCACGACGACGTTGCGCGCATCTTCACCAAGGGCCAGCGCCCATCCAGTGTGTCTTCGGCCTCTTCCTCAACTTCCGGCACATCCAACGGTTCCGAGACTCCAAACGGCAGTTGGGGAAACTCCGTCAACGGGAAAAAAAAGGGGGTTAGTCGCGCTGCTGCTAGGGGTGCGAACACCGCCTGGGCTGCAAAACCCGATATAATGAGGGTGCCCGGCGGTTCAAATCAGGCGCAGGGAGGCTCGTTGACGGGTTCTAATTCATCCATCAATGGCAACCACCAAACGATGCCCATCCTGCCATCTCAACATATTGTGTCTGGTCAGACACAACAAAATGGTGGCTCGCTTCCACCTTCATATCTGATGCTTCTTTCTTTGAACGGGACTTTTGATCGCAAATTTATCCCGCTCCCCTATTGGCCTGATACTCTGCGTATAGGGCGTCAAACTAATAACAAGACCATGCCGACCCAGAACAACGGTTATTTCGATTCAAAGGTGCTCTCCAGGCAGCATGCGGAGATCTGGGCGGAGAAGCCGAATGGCAGGGTCTGGATTCGCGACATAAAATCGTCCAACGGAACATTTGTCAACGGACAGCGACTATCACAAGAGAACCGGGACAGTGAGCCTCACGAACTTCGAGCGGAAGACGTTTTGGAACTTGGTATAGACATCGTTGGCGAAGACAACAAGACAATTATACACCACAAAGTGGCTGCAAGGGTTGAGCATGCCGGTTTGCAAACTCCGAACGTTGGTAACTTCGACCTCAACTTTGGCGATATCGACCCCATGAACAGCGTCTCCATGATGAACCCTCAGAATAACTCTGTCCCTCCCCAGAATGCTAGCATTAGAGGGCGCTCCGGATCCCAAGGGTCACGATCTTCGGCAATGGGCGGAGGACAAGCCAGCCACCGACAGCCTCAGATGATGATCGCGCCAGTGACGATGGAAATGGTCGTCAAGAAGCTCAATGTAAGCGAGTGCCTAATATTTATACCCTCTAGGAACTTGGCTAATTGTCCGCCACGCAGTATGAGCTGCAAGCAGCAAAACAACAGTCTCAGGATTTACAGCGGACTTCAGAAGTTTTTGATTCTCTGCTAAATTCCAGACCAATTGCTGCATTGGGACACATCGCCCCCAGTGCAAATCCAGCCCCCACAGAGCCCCTACCAGCTCCTCCGGTCCCAGTGCATACAGGGCCGGCCCAGAAACGGGTTTCGGCACCGCCACTAATTCCACCTTCCACGCATGTTCAGGAGCATTTGAGGGGCCAACAAGTATACGATAGCAGCAGGAACACGCCAAAACTTCGGTCGGAAAAGACCGAGGGACCGGAGCCTCCTCAGCAGCTGCATGGGCTTGTGGGCGCACTGGAGGAAGCCCACCGAGAGCTACAGGCCAAGACGGTCCGTGTCAAAGAGCTCGAGGAGACGCTGAAAAGGGAGAGAAGCGCGAGAGAGGTAGCTGAGGTCCGCGCTGCACGACTCGAGAACGCCTCAAGAGCTGTCCGAGAATCATCCCGAGAGAGAGGTTTCAAGGAGTTTGACGCCGAAAAGATACGCGCCGATGAAACAATCGGATTATCGGATGAAGTCCATGAGTTGCGAAATGAGAAGCTGTTGGACGGGCAGCCGGAGGCATTGGACGACGAGGATAGGGATATCTACGATGATCATACTGTGAGTGTCAAGGTTGATCCATCCGCTCAGGGGGCAGCGGAAGCGGCGGAGAGGTTGCAACGGCGTGTCGAGCAAATGATGGCGGAACTACAGTCGGCCAAGGAGGAGATTGAACGGTACAAACGGCAAGCTGAAGTTGCAGAGCACGAAGGTGTTAAATCGAAGAGGACACTCAGCGAGATGGTGGAAAAGATCCGCAAAGACGAGCAGGCCAGAAAGCTGCTACATGAGAAGGAGGCTGCAAGTCAGACGGACTCAGTGGCAGTCAAGAACACAGGCATCCAGGTCTTGAGTGGGGATATGGTGGAATCAGGGGGTGATTTCCATTTGAACGGCGTTATTAAACCTACTGGAGGTAAAGTAGCGCCTCTAAACGGCAGCAGAGGTTCTGGGCAGATGGGTAGCAAACGAAGTAAGGAGAGCAACTTGACAATATCAAAACGGGATGCAGCTCCCTATGCTAGTATCATTGGGGTAATGCTGATCGGGGTCGGTTTGATGGCTGTCTTGAACAGATGGCATAAGGTTGAGAGTTAGAAAATTCTTGCGCATTCCTCTTGGGAGAGTATTCTTTGGGAGTTTGTTTTTCTTGATACATCTGAATAACTTATGCATTTAAAAAAGTCTTGGGGGTTCAGAAGGAGCAGGATTTGGGAACGTTCAGGCTCGAGAAGTCAATCTCTTGTTTTTCTTTTTCTTTTCTCTTGTTTCTTGATTAACCTGCACACTATTGCCTTACATGACATATCCACTTTTCCTTTTATTGCCCACTGTATTCGTACGTTTGTCCACTCACTGCACTTGACCTGTCCTTTTTCTTACATTCTACCACACCCTGTTCGTTCTCTTTTTCACATTTTTTTTCTCCTTTATTACCCTCTAGCCATCACCAGAGTCATTTGTTTGTGCGACGAGCGGCGTTTTCCATACCCCCCCTTCCCTTTCCTCCTCTTGGTTTCCTTCCCCCTGGTTTCCGTTTCTTCCTAGGGATGGGGGGAGGGTTGGTTTGGAGGAATGGACTAGCCTGGCTATGTAAAAGTAGCCCAAGGGAGGAGTTTATCTTGGGGAAAGGTGTCATGCATGGGCGATTGGGTTAGAGCATTGTTGGAATATTTCTTTCTCTTGTATTTTTTTCTCCACTTCTATGATACTCGCTTAGTCGATGTTTTGACTTATCCCCTTTCATCTTCCTTATTCCAACTTCAATTTTTTGTTTTTGTTTCTGGTTCCTACAATTGTTCATGTCCGGTATATTATTATGTGGGTGCTTCTCTTATTTATTTATTTTATTCTATTCCTGGTTTTTCTGGTTCTCGGGGATGGTTGGTGCGCAATGTAAAGGTGAAATGGTACAGGCGCGTAACTTATATACACACGTACTGTACATATGTGTTTCCCTCACTCAATTATTTGCCCAACTCACCTCTCTAACTCTCCCACCAGCAGGTCTGGTGGGATATCTTCGCGAGATTTCTTCTCTATGGAAGAGCATCCCAAAGACTCAGCCATTGCCTTAACAAAGCGATCACCAACCTCCTCAACACTAACGCCTACCACGCCCTCCTTCACAAAACTAGTAGCCCCCTTCCCTTCTAGGCCACATGCGACAATCCTGTTGAACCACCATAGATCGGTAGAAATATTTAACCCAACCCCAAAACTACTCACAAACCTCCGCATGTGCACACCCACCGCCCCAATCTTCCTATCCCCCGAAGTCCAAGCACCCGTATCCTCCGTCGTGAATGCACGAATGCCCCACTGGGCACACGTCGCCACCAGCGCCCCTTCGAGAGCGCGCACATAGCACCTGGGTGTCAAGCCGTGATGTCGAAGATCGGCAATGACATAGGCTGTGAGCTGGCCCGGGCCGTGGAATGTGGTCAGTCCGCCGCGGGAGGTGTAGCGTAGCTCCGAGCCCCTAACTCGGAGGTAGGATTCCTGCTCGGGGGTCAAGGGGGTTTGTGATTCCCGTCGACCGAGGGTGTATACGGGGGGGTAGAATTCGGAGGTTATCACTGCAGGCCCGGGGGGCTCGGCGGCGGTGAGGGTTTGCAGTGATGCTGGGGAGGGGGTTGAAGTCGACTGGGACTTGTGCGAGAGGTGGGCGGACACGAGTGATTTTTGGAGGGCAGCAGCCGAGGCATAAGTGGTTCCCCCGAGGTGCAGATGGAGGAGGCGAGGTCGGAGCATTGCTGCTCTGATAGGGCGGGTGTGTCAGAAGGTGGTGTATCATATGAATGATTGGGTGGGGGTTGGAGATATCATATACCGGTACTGAGTATACTTGTACACTTGTAAACTGGGAGGTGGGGTCAAGATAGTCTACCTTAATCCCTTCCACCAAGGATAACGGGCCCCGGCAGTGGGCGAGGACAAAGATGGGATGGAGCGGCACCTCACATCGCCCCCACCAGGGGTCTAACTTCCAAGCCAGGACCATAGTGGACCATTTGATCGGCCCGCCGGGGATTCCGTTGTCATGGCTAATCAAGCCACGGAAGTCTGAAATCCAAGACAAGAATCCAAACCAGAGCCTCAGGGCTCAACCACCACCCACGCACCCGAACCCTCGCCCAAAGCCTTTTTCCTGTTCACCCCCCGCGTGAGAAGAGAAAACACCGCTCTCCCAAGTCACTCGCCTCTGTCCGTCCCCCACCAATCAGCCATGGCAGTATAAACGCCCCCTCCACCCATTCCGTCCCTTTTGCAATCCAGACAGAATATCCGGCAACAAGTCGACAAATGACCGACCGCAAAACAATTCCCACACCCGCCACCACTGGCACGCATGCCCTCTTCACCCTCTGGGCCCGCAAACACGGTATTGAATTCCCAAAACTAATTCCCGCGTACCTACCCCCCGCCGGTCTTGGCATCATCGCGACCGAGGAAATCACGGGCCCGGATCAGACCCGCCATGGAAAAACCATCAGCATGAGTCTCGGGGAAGTGATCGCTTTCACCCCGAACGCGCTCCTCCTCACCAGGGAGAACATTGAACGGTTCAGTCCCGGCTGCGGGCTCGGGTCGCTCCTGAGGCAGAAGAGGGATGATGGTGGATTGAGTTCGCATGCTGTCTTCGCCGCGGTGATTGCGCGGGAGATGCGCAGGATTGCCGAGGGCCATGAGAACATGTGGAGGGAATGGATCGACGTATGGCCGAAGGCGAAGGAGTTTAGGGGGGGTATGCCGCTGATGTGGTCCCCGGAGGAGAGCAATCTGTTGCCGCCGAGCGCTAAACGTGCCTTTTCTCCCCAAAGCTGTTGAAGGGCGGTGCTGATGGATCGGACCTGGTAGGATTACTGGACGAGCAGCGAGAAAAGTTCACGAGGGATTTCAGAACGGTGGAGCAGAAGGGATTTGGATTTACGAAGCAGGAGTATATGTGGTCTTGGATCGTCGGCTCGTGCTCACTTACCGTTATTCATGGAAAATCACTCGATATGCTGATTCTCGTGCATCAGTTAATACTCGTACACTGTTTTACAAACCGCCCCACCCCGCGTATAACGATCTTCCCCGAGAGGATTGTATGGCATTATGTCCCTTTATTGATTACTTCAATCACTCAGACGATGGTGTAAGCTTCCCCGCCTTCATCTGAGGAAACAGAACATTAACCAACCCATCACAGTGCAATGTCCAGTTAACACCAACCGGATTCACGGTAACCCCTACCAAACCCAACCACCCAGCGAATACCCAGCTCTTCGTGACCTACGGCTGTCACAGCAACGATTTCCTCCTCGTGGAATACGGCTTCAACCTCCCCCTGGAGAAAAATAAGTGGGACGAGGTCTCCATCACACCCTACCTCCTCCCCCTCCTATCGGAAGAACACAAGCGCGTTCTATCGCGGGAAGGCTTCCTGGGGAAATACGCCTTTGACAAGGAGGCCTTCTGTTTCAGGACCCAGGCCGCCGTGAGGCTGATGCTCATAGAGCACCCGGAAATGGATGCGAATCGGCGGAAAGTGGAGGTGTGGAAGAATTTCCTTGCCGGGCATGACGACGGCGAGAGAGAGAGAGAAGCGGTTGAGGAGAGGTTGCTGGGCTTCCTAGACGCTTTGGAGGAGGAGGGAAAGTGTGCGGTGCTCGAGGCTGATAAACTGCAAAGGCACAGCATAGGGGACTTGATTAAGATGCGCTGGGAGCAAATACTTAGGATGGCAAACGACGTTAGAACAAACATGGTGGGTGAGAACGGGGAGAGAAGAGGAAGGAGATATGCTACTTGAGGAGGGGGGGGGGGGGATTGAGTAACTTTTGACACCCGTATTAAAGGGGGGCCTTGTGTTAGGAGTAGTCTGTATCTAATGCCATCACCGCTACACCCTACTGTATTATCAAGCTGCAGTAGTACCCGTGATAAAAAAAAAATTTAAAATAAACAAATCAGCACCATAATTCTACCATGATAATATGAAATTTTGGTTTATAATATTCTACCATCTATCCTACCCGCCCGACCCCCCAAACAGCAGCAACAAAAGGAACCAACGCCCAACTTTTGATCAATACACACATACTTACATACGTACCGACATATAGACATATTTACAACAGACAGAGTACATGTCCGAACCAAGCAAAAAGATCCCCCCCCCCCAAATACAGCCACTGTATACAACGGTGTAAAATATAAATATCCATAATCAATCCTCCAACCCAACAAACGGGACCTGCGCCGCCACCCTCTGCTGTACAATCTTCCCCTTGCCCTTAACCATATTAACAAGCATATAGTTAACCGTGCACGCCAACTCCAGATCGCGAGCACGGTCAAGCACGTACCCGTTAATGTAGTCGATCTCAGTCTGCTTGCCGTTCCGCACATCCTGGAACATACTGGAGTAATTCCCGGCGGTGAGTCTGGCGACGCGAATGACGAGGTCGTACAGACGGTCGGGGGAGAGCCGGACGTCGCGGCCGGGGAGGGCGGCGAGTTCGGGGAGGGCGCAGAGGACTTGTGAAACTTCCCAGAGGATCAGACGCATATTTTGCACAATGTAGAAGTTTTCCAGGAGTTCGCCGTTCTTGCAGTTGAAGAGGACGGTGAGCGGGTTTATCACGGCGTTTATAGCGAGTTTCTCGAGTTGCGCCGAGAGGAGTTCAGCGATGGAGAGGTGGGCGGCTTCGAGGGGCTTTGCGGAGAGGAGGGTGGACAGTAAGTATCCGGAGGATGCCGGTAGGGTATTCAGTGGTGGGGGCTTGTCCGGGTGCTCCGAGGGGGGTGGGGGGGAGGAGGTGAACCAGGATCTCACGATTCCCGCCTTCCCTGGGTCCGGGGTTTCCGGGTGGTCGCGCTGGGCATAGCCTAGGGATATTGTGCCCATGCCTTTCTGCATTAGGGCGAATGGGCCTTCTGGGTATATCCCGTGCGTGGTTATCCCGAGTACGAAGTTCGGCCGTGAGGCAGGGTCCGGGAAGATCTCTGCCTTGATCTCCTCCAGAACCCCCATCCCATTTTGCAGTATTAATACTGTAGAGTCCTTAGTTAGCCTCTCACTAATCGGTCGTAGAGCAGCAATTGTCTGGTGCGCCTTCGTGGTGATAATTAAGTTTGCGATTCTCCTCTGGGGTGGGGGCGGTGGTGTTGCTCCGGTATTCGGGTCGACGAGAGCTTCGATAGGTGTGTTCGCCGCGACAACGGCGTTCGGTGGCAAGGTAAGTTCGGCCTCGTAGCCGTATGATATGCTAACTTCCTTCAGTGGTCTATGCAATTCGATCCTGCTACCACTATTCTGAAAGTCCTCCAGCTTGGAAAACTTGTGGAAGAGAAGCGTTACAGGTGGGGGATTCGGTAGTGTGCGAAGTGAGTGGGCGACGAGGTTTCCCACATTCCCACTGCCGAGGATATGGATTCTTCGGGGGACTGCCGGCAAGGGGGTAGTGGTGTTGGTGGTAGTGGTAGTGGTAGTAGTTGTATCGCGTGGGGGGGGAGGGGAGGTGTTTCTCGAGTCTTGTGGGCCGGCCCGCCACTCTGCTTTCGTAGACATTCGCCTGGCTCGGACAGAGGTGCAGATGAGAAAGTGCAGTCTGACTTTCGGAATCGCAGCAAGTATCATGGCCGGGCCAGGCGTTTGTGGGAGCAAGAAGCGGGGCACACGGTGGTAGAATTGGCCATGGAGAAAATGATTGATGGATTCTCCATGTATCATCAATCCCGTTCGTTAGAGGGGGGTGAGGTTGGGTTGGCGAATGGCGCCTATACCGTTACCTCTACTTCGTGTCCGGGAACGGAGTGAAGTAATTAGATGGTGGAAACAGAAAGGAAAAAAAAATTCAAACCATAAATAAGAGTTACGCGTGACATTTTTGGTGACGCACCGGTACTGCATGTGCAGTGTGTAGGGTATGATAGCGGATTGGGTTGGCGCTTTTTTTTTTTGAGTTTATTGGAGCCTCATGCTTGGCGTCGGATCGCTGGGTTTTCTTACTTCACCACTCTCAGCAATCAACCCCTTCAGGTCCGCTTGCTTGCCACCAAACCTCACTCGACCACGAAAGCGAAACAGGAACAAAAACAATCCCTCATGGACTCCTCGGAAGCGGTGGAGCTCCTCGATCTTCTGGATGAGCAAATCGATGACCTTGGGGCTGCTGTCGAGCCCCTCCTCAAGGACGCCATTTCCGGAGCCGCTATACAACTCCCAGTCGTCGATAAAGCAAAACTCTACGTTCTCACATCTTATGTTTTGGAATCTCTTTTGTTCTGTAATTTCCCCCAAACACCCTGCTTGGCAAATCGCACAACGCTGACTTTCTCAAGCCTACCTGAAACTAAACAACACCGACCTCAAGTCCCACGCAATCATGTCCGAGCTCGCGCGCGTTCGCAGCTACATGGCGAAGATCAAGGAAGCCCAGCCAAATATGCATAGGCGCGAAATGACTATCAACAAGGAAGCCGTGGAGAGAATCGTAAATGCCGGATTAGCAGGGAACGACAAGTGGGACGCTGAGAACGCTGAGACGAAGGCTAAGGAGCGCGCAGCGGCATTGGCAAAGTTTAATGCGCTGAGCGAGAAGATCGAGCGGGAAACGGGAAAATTGTCCAAAAAGCAAAGGCAGAAGGAAAGGAAAGCAAAGAGGAATCGGGAGGCTGCCGCGGCTCAGAGGGAGCTAGACTACGATGAGTCCGGAGAAATTGTTGCGATCGACGCCGGCGGTGAGGTGGTGGCGGAGAGTGCCGGGGAGGGAGAAGGGAAAACGGGAGTGGATGAGAAAGTAGAAGTTGGAGTTGAAGGGGTGGAGGCCGAAGCCGAGGATAAAGAGGTCGTGGAGGAGAAACGGGCCGGCTCTTCCAAGAGGACTAAACCGTCCAAGAATCGGTCAAAAAAGCGTCGGAAAGCGGCCACAGGGAGAGAATACTCCCCCCACCGACAATCTCACGATCCACTAAAACAATAGAACTACCACGCCCACGATATTCCACCACTGAGATTTTTATTCAACTTTTACTATTTTTCTTTGCTCTATAAAGCAGCTTTCCACTGGGTCTCTCCTGCTGTCTACGATGTTTAGTGTTTTGTACGATAGATAAAGTTGGATCATTGGGGCGTGTCTTTTTTCCCTATCCTGTGATACCATGAAATCTCTGTTACTATGATACCTTAAGTTACGCCTCGTATCCATAACGGATCTCCATCAATCCTAACCCCCACCAAACTCGCTTTCCCCGTTGACTATAAAAAGGGCATGGCCCAATAACCATCACATGACCTCGGAAACCAAAATTCTTTTTATCTAGTCTTGGCACGCAACGTTTTCCGGCCCCTCTCCCAACTTCTCTCGCAAACTCCGCCATCTCGCCCTCGCATCCATCGCCTCTATAAAGCCTTCACCCCAACGTCCAAACGCGCAAGCAACCCACCAATTCTCTCTTTGATCACCCTACCACCACAGACTCAAGATCCAAGAAAAAGTCTAATCCAAGATGCCTCGCAACCGCGGTTCCGCTCGCCCTGCCGCCCGCAGTGCTGCCCTTCCAGTCCGGCAGCCTACTCGCTCGGCCTCTACTCCCTCTGTCCCCGTTCGTGCCGCCGCTCCCCCGGTGCCGGCAACTGCTAAAGCCCACCCCCCAGCAGCCCCTGCGCAGGGTCAATCCCCAGGCTTGTTCGGTCAGGTAATTATAAGTCCATCCCCCCGTCCATCAAAGAGATATGTTGTGATAATATTATATTGTGCCAGGGGGTACATTTGCTGATAATTGTTGATTGGGTAGATGGCTTCCACCGCGGCAGGAGTTGCTGTCGGAAGCACCGTCGGACACATGGTTGGAGCCGGGATCTCTGGGTTGGTGAGTTTCCCACCATCTTCACCGTTACCGTAACCCAGGCGGACATGCATGGTTGATTGATGCAGTGATTGACTAACAGTTGGGTTTTGGGGGGTTTTGTTAGTTCGGCGGATCGAGTGCGCCTGAACAACCCGCTGCTGCTGAGCCTGTCAAGTCTGAGTCTGCTTCCTCTGGTAGCTGGGCTTCCACTCCCTCTTGTGAAGCGGATGCAAAGAGCTTCACAAAGTGTCTTGATGAAAACCAGGGCAACATGCAGATTTGCTCTTGGTACCTTGATCAATTGGTAACTCCTCCCCCTTTCCACTCCACACCCACCCTCCCCCCCCCCCGACTTTGGGACTTTGGGATTCACCCGGACTTATATCCAACAATTTTTCTTGGGGAGGGTGGTGACTGACTACCGGTATATGCGCGAAACTATAGAAAGCATGCCAGAACATGGCCAAGAACTATTGAGTTCGACTGCACTTACTTTTTCTCGGTCAAGCTTTCTTTCCTTTTTTTTCTGTAAAGGAAGCTTTCTCGGATAGCTCTTTATTGGGGTGGGAATGGACGTCATTACCACTCAGCCAATCTGTATTGGTAAACCTTTGCGGTTAACTTCAGTTAGAATTGTAACAAAAGTATCTTCACTCGCGAATCGAGATGCGCATCGGCTCTGGAATTTATAATATTTTTTTTACCAGTTGGATGTCGGCCCGTAAATAAGCAAATTTCTTTCCAATCACCCAGCTCCCCTCCCCCTCCCCTTTAGTTTTCCCCCGCCTCTACCGTAATGTGCCTATCTACGGCACTGAACGTCCATCGCCCTAGCCTCCCAACCAACCTCCACCAATTCATTTTCTTTTCACTTCCTCGAGGTTCAGCTCTTTCGGGATGACGGAACAGATTTAAATCCTCCCAGCGTACGAGATTTTGCGCAATCTCCGCCCGATTTCATTTATTTATTTATTTATTTTTGACTTGGGGAACGCATCGAGATCACACCCCTCATCACAGCTTATGAAATGTTTCTAGGCTTGCACCCATGCCCACCCTCCCCGCCCAAGCCCCCCGCTCCCCCGTCTCTGAGCTCACTCGGCTGGGATTTAGCCAGACTGAACATGATGGACAATGGAAATGGTGAGGTTGATGACCAGAGAAGAGGAAGAGAGGAGAAGAGGGGCCACAGTGGGGGGAACAAAAGGGAGAAAGGGGGGGGGTGAAATGAGCGATGCATTGCCACGTCAGCGATGTGAGTGCAGCATGAGGAGGGAGCGAAGGAACGAACATATTTTTCACGGTACGACCCAGAAGCAGCCAGAGCTTCCCTCTCAGCGAATGAGAAGCCAGAGTCTGAAAAACAGTTTCTCCCTCTCCACGTTAGTAACTTTGCTCTCGAGCCCATCAATTGGGGAGGAAGGCATCGAGGTGCCCGCCCTCTGCTCAAACAGAGAGCCTGAGGCAGCATTAGGCAGGAAGATGCAGCGCAATCCTCACAGACGTCGGCCACTGACTAAATTTATAGTTTGGACCGCATATACTACTGTGCGCAAAAGCAAACTCGATATAACCACCGGTATTAGAAACCCACACACACCCACATGTCTGTCTGCAGCCCTCGCCCAAGACCTCCGCCCCCGATAAAAAAATTTTGCGGGCAATTTCTCCGTCGTCTCTCTACATGCGGTAGCGCAACACAGGCCTCTTCCGAGCCTTTCTCTCGTGCTTCTCACTGTTTATCAATTGCCTTCTTTTCCCCTCCTTGAGTTTCCGGGGCCCGGCGAACTTGTGACCTGCCACGCTGCGATCGCCCTTCACCCATTCCTGCAAGATATAGCAACAACTTCTGCACTAAATGGTCCCCCTCTGCGGGCAGACATTGTGGGCATTCATGCATGCTTCTCACATTCTGCTGTCCTTCGGCCCAGTGATTTAACACATGTTACCTGCTGTACTTAGCCCCGTGCAGACTGTTCCTGGATTACCGGCCCTCTCCTCATGAGTTGGCTGTCCAAGTTTATGGTCAAGGGAGTATAAGTTACCTGGTCGAAGCAACGGTAGTGCCTTGAGAATGTGTACCAGATTGAACTAGGCCATTCCATTGGAACGAGGCAGTTCAGCTTATTATGTAGTCAAGGGATGGGGGTAGTACTGATATATATATTCCTCGCTCGGTGCGGAAGGGACTAGGGAGCTATTGGCTATGTCAACTGGGTGACTTCATGTCCTCTCCGGCAGTGCAGGTAGTCCTACGGAGGCGAGTGATGGTAAGAGAACTAAGCATGCTGCCATGCTCACTCTCGGGTGCCTCCATTGATGGAGGCGGGTAGTGATTGACTGTCATTCGCTCCCTCACTTCTAGAGCCCATAACACCACACCCAAGCATATTCTGGCCAACGTAACGTGAGATACCGCGATGCATGTCCCCAATATGAAGGAAGATGAGGGTCATAAATTCTAGGCTCTCACAAGGCAAGACCATTGAGGTGTCATGGCTGCTGCAAGCATCGATTCAAGAAATAAATCAGATTAAAAAAAATCCAAACTAAAAAAAAAGCCGATGCTGCACGCTTTCCGTTGTTTCAATCATGGACCGAAAGCTTGGAATTATTAACGGAAGGGTGGGGACAGGACAGACAGGGTGAGGAATAGGGCTCTGATCTCACTCCAGTGCTGCCAGCGAGGACTACTTATGCGCTGGCATGAATCCTGTGTTCCTGCTTGAGTTCAATCCCATCGCCTTCTCTTTCGCTGTTGCAGACAAGTACTCTCTGCTCCATTCCACTTGTTTGGCCTCGTACAATGTCCGAGAAAATCGATATCGAATCGTCCGTGAGTTGTCCCTTGAGCCTCTGCCATCCTTTTTTTTTTTGGATGGTCATGTGACGCAGGGAGAATTTATCTGATGGTGGTCTGATTCCCCGAATAGTCCCTGCTGCTAGACACGAGCAGAGATGTTGAAACAGACATTTGGGCACTTGGCATCACAGAGTGAGCCGCTTTCTTTTCCCCAGTGGTCTTTGTCGAACGGGCTTCCAGAATATCCACAGAACATGGGCTGACCTGCCACCGGAAGGAAGTCAATCTCAGCTGAGGTTGTCGGGAATCCATACAATCCTGGAGATCTCGATAGGTATGCGTTGAATCGAACAGATATATCTTCGAGCACATCCGCCGACCTCTCGTTAATGCTACGCGGGCAGAAATAGGGTTGATCCGAGCAACGATGCACAGCCGAATGATATCCCGCAGAAGCAGTTTGACTTCATTCATATACGGTACAAGAGCACTGGAGTGACGGATAGCCCACGAATATTCCGTTTAGCTTATGAGTATGTGTCAATTTTCCGTAATATTTTCCCCCAAAACTTTCACGAGTTTTCACTCACTGTTTCCCACTTGGTGCTTCCAGACAGACAAAACCTGGGGGTTGGATTGAAGTCGTTGAGAACCCTCCCTCATCTTACACGACTCATTCACCCACGGGCGATGGCGCACAAGGAAAAGGAGGGGTGGCCCCAACCAGCTGGGCCGTCAAAGATTTTGCAACATCTAAGATGGCGTTCTGGATCAAACAGCAGCTAACAGAAGCTGGATTTGTTGAAGTGGAAGAGAAAGTATGGAGGGCACCAACTGGCCCCTGGCAGAAGATTGTTGGAATCGGGAGGTTGATCTACTGCCTTCTCAGCTTGAGTTGGAGTGGCAGTAGTAGGGTTAGGGAGATGGTGAATTCGGGGGAGACATACTCAGTCTCTCGCGGGCCAACGTAAGTTTGATACTCTCTTCCCCCCCGCGTGCTACGAGATATCCGTGTTGACAACCTCCCTTCCAGGGTATTCGTTATCGCGAGGAAACCTTGAATTAGTGATCGGAAGTACTGGTTGTCTCTGATGGTTAGAGGGAAGGGAAAAAAAAGTACTGGTATTGAATTTGGGGATGTGCAAGAAGAATCCAGTTGCCTATTTTTTTTTATTTTTTTTCTTTCTTTCCTTTTTGCTCCTTGCCCCACAGTACTGGCTTTTTGCAGGATTCGGAAGCTCAACGTCCTCCTCTTATTTAATGAAATTTTACGAACTAACGTTTGGCGGGCATCTACGATCTCTATTTAGCATCGTTTGGGGTCATCTTTCCTCAATCTTTTCTTGTCCGAATTAAAATAAATATATATCTAAATATACTTTCAAACTTCGCCCTTCCCCACTCCCTTCTATTGATCTCCTATACAAGCATCATAATATCTCTGTCTATCATACCATCTGCAGAGTGCCGTCTAGAAAATCCACTCAGGGGGCCGCTAGGAGCTCGGACCCGGGGCAGCCTCAAAAGAAAGCGGAAGGGAAAAGAAAAAAGAAAGGGATGTAAAAGAGAATACAGTATTTTATTCTAACCGGCGAAAGCCGAATGCGTGGACTAGGTTTCTCTTCCGGCCCTGCGGGGAGGATGGGGTGATACAAGTAAGATCATACCGGTAGTTTACTGATGACCTCCCCCCCCAAAACCTTTCCTACACTACACACCGCATCGAGAACTTTGATAAAGCGGCTCCACCGTTATCTCAGCCCTTTCCATCTACGATACTTTATCATAGGATGCGGTCGAACGAAGACTGGAAAGCCGCCGTCAAGACAAAGATAGATGAAGTTTTGGCCAACGCAAACCCCGCAGAATACCCTCCTCCACTATTTCTTCCAGTCATTATTGATCATACACTACTAAAGCCCGATGCTACTCCAGCTCAAATAAATACATTGTGCGATGAGGCCATCAAATACGGATTCAAAGTATATAAAACACCATCCTTTCCTTTTCTGTTGGAAAGAGGGGGGGGTTGAATGTTTTAGATGTTGCTTCGCTACATATACAAATCATAGCTGACGATGAAACTGTAGTCGTGTTGCGTGAATGGATCCTATATCCCTCAGGTTGCCGAAAGGCTGCGAGGGAGCGGGGCGATTCCGTGCGTAGTGGTAGGCTTCCCTCTCGGAGCGATGAAGCCAAGTGCCAAAGCATTGTGAGTTCCTCCTTCGAAGCCATATCGAGCAAATAGAGAATCAAACGACCCCTTCCAAAAATGGACATGAACGGTAATAGGTTCCCTTCTCCACTCTCTCTAGCGAAGCGCAGGAAGCCGTAAGAGATGGTGCGAAGGAAGTGGACATGGTGCTGCACATTGGCCACTTGAAATCCCAAGATTACGTCCACTTGCACGCAGACATAGAGGCTGTCGTCGGAGCGTGTTCACCGATCCCCGTCAAGGTTATCCTCGAGACGGTATTTCTCACCGATGAAGAGAAGATCGCCGCTTCTTTTGTCGCCGCTGAGGCCGGCGCTGCGTTTGTCAAGACGTGCACTGGATTCGCCGGCGGCGCGGCCTCGCCAGGAGATGTTGCCCTCATGAAGAGGACTGTTGCGTACAAGGACGGGGCCGTGCAAGTTAAGGCATCTGCTGGAGTCCGGACCTATGAGAAATGCCTTGAAGTTATCAATGCCGGTGCTGATAGGGTTGGAACGTAAGTTTGATATCTTCTAGAAAGCGCTGAACGAATGATCGAGCTGTTGATATCGTATCCTTTGGATATAGGTCTTCCGGAGTAGCAATTATGGAGAAATCCGATCTAGTGCCAGGATCTTACTAGGGGTTTCTCAATTCTTTGTAGGCATCAATTGATCATTAGTTCTTGTGCCCTTTGTATACTAAATGGTAATATGAGATATGATGGATTGCAAATATGGCGGAATCAGGGGGAAGGGATCACTAGATGCGCTGAGAGCGATTTCTGATATATGAGTAGGGGAACCGGGGGCAAATAGCGTGTTGAGACCTAATAGGCAAGTTCGAATTGTATTCCACGGAATCGGGTGGATATACCGACACTGTGAATTTGTACCATTTCACTGGAGCGAAGCTCCTTGCGAGCCTATGCCAAATTGCCAATTGCCTGTGATAACTTTTTCTTTTCTTCTTCTCACGACTCGACTTCTACCGGTAGTCAATTCAGCAAATCATGGTGCCCTTCCCTCAAGAAATGTGTCTGCCCACTCCCTTCTATCTCACGTTATTCGTGAGAAGACTACTACCATGTCCCAACCCCCCATATGCTCCTCGCAGCGATGATCCGGAAGGATGTGTGCGCCCCCCTTCTTCCTCCACCCATCGGGTGCCCCTCGGCATGGGAAGGAAGGTACTTTTCGCCTATAGCTTCCGTCAGTCACTTCTTTACATGGGCATAGTATTGTTTTCCTTTCCCTTCCTTTCCCTTACTTTTTTTCTTTTTCCTTTCCCACTCTGCATCTTATTTTCCTCCCTCAGGGACACCATGGAAATTCTACCGATGCCTGCTTGATCGATCATACGGGTGGGGGAGTGATGAAATACCGTGCACGGATTATTGTTGTCCCTTCTGGATAAAGGTTTCTGCGACCTGCATACTTAAATATGGGGAGTTCGGAATCATTACCCAGGATATGGATCTATTTTCCGTTCGTGGGTTTTCTATTCCCATTTTCTACTTTCTCAGTTGCCCGAGCCACGGCCGATGGCCTTGATAACTATACCGGTACTGTACGAGTCTAACGGTATGTTCTCTGCTTTTTTTTTTTTTTTTTTTACTTGGGTAATACCCTGAAAAAGGTACTTGTACTTGCACTCGAGTACGTGGCAGATACACTGCGTTAATCCATACCAATTCATGCTGGGGAGGGGGGGGGGGGGGGTCGGTGGAAGAAGACAAATGGTAATCCCTTTTTAATTCTTTCACTGTCGAGCCATTACCATGTGCAGGGCCTTATACAACTTCAGTTCAACCCCCCATACTTTGCCAGTATCGGTAGGTGTTCTCTGGCCAAAAGTCTACTTGCCATACAAACCTCTAATAGAGCCGAAGAAGAAAAAAAAACTAACCCGTGTCCCGTGTCTTTGACTTGTCGTTCCGGTAGATTTTTACGATTGCTTGGCATGTATGAGACAGGAGGTCTTTCTATTTATCGGGCTTGGCCAATCCTCGAATACGGCACCCAATTAGGTTTAGTTGAGCGGGAAGTCACGCAAGGCTGGATAAAACCAAAATTCCTTCCCCCGGTAGCTGGCTAGTGGTTGATGGGGGATGCTCAGTGCAGCAGCTCAGATGCTGGGGATGACACTGGGGAGTACTCGAGTAGTGTGTTACAGTGGCAGGACAATTACTCGTACTTGTACAGGAACCACCCGGTAGATGTTTTGGGCTTAACTTAGCGGTGACTTAAAAAAAGGGTTGGAACCCTTCATACCTCAATATTGATCGCTAACTTATCTATATAAATTACAGTCGCGCCTCGCCATCCCGGACGACCAAAATTCGCAGAAACCGTCCGGTACAACGAGTGATCCGGGACAATGGGTCGCGTTTTGGTGTGGAAAATTTGCGGAATTTGCAGAATTTCATACGGGACAGCGAGGTTTGATTTTATTGAGGAATGAGAAAAACTGGAAAAGGTGAGAAAAGGAGAGGCTACCAACACCCATTATAATATGTGCACTGGAGCTCGTATGATGTTGTGCTCTGGCTAATGCAAGCCGTGAGAGGAGGTTTTGTGAAGGCTGGGATGAAAGAAGTCAGGGTCATGCTCTATAGTCTACCCTCTGTTCAACGACTGGGCTTGGGGCGGGCATAACAGTCTCTAATTATTTATGGAAAGCCCTTCACTGCTAATGGAAGGCCAATCCGAGCCCATCCCTCCTGTAAAGAGGGGGTGAAAAGGAAAGCCTTGACAAGGGGATGGGATGGGAAGCACAACGTGAACCTGCTGGACTCCATCTACAGTTAATAAAACTCACGACTGTACAAAAACTGTGCCCAGATAGCTAATAAGGGACCTACTAATCATAATTGGAATGTTGTACGGTAGCTTTGTGCAGTCAGCGACATTATTACGGTGTGGCAGTTTTAATGCCTTATAGTAGGGCCCCGTTGAAGCTTTGGGAGCGGGGGGGGGGTCAAATTGGCCGCCTGTTATTCTTTCTTTTTCCTTCGTTCCCTTGTTCCTTTTTTTCCCCTTCCACCTTTTCCAATCCATAGCTACCGTACCATCTGTTGAGAAGCCGGCACCAGGAGCAGCAGCGGCCGCCGAATCCGATGGTATCTCGCACATACAGTTACCGATGGATCAGAAGAGTTGATCTGTTTTGTCAGCTTCTATCATCGGGACCTCCATCGATCTCCGATCCTCCAATCATGAACTCTCACTTTTCTCACCAAAAGGCCAAGTTCCTTAAGGATTGAATATCATTTTGTGAATAATATCTCGCTTAGGTGCGCACACATGTGATATCACATTGTTATCTTGGGTCGGGAAAGTTCTTTTTGCCTATGATTCGCATCCATTCCCACCCCTTCAAGCCACATATAACGAGATTGCGGGCGAAGGAGGCCCTCGAGCCGAGAAAGTGGGAATGAAATGAAAGAAATCGGATGGGATGGGACGAAAACAAACAGAAAATAAATCCGTATTTTAGAGCAAAAGGGTAGCTGCTTACATACATCTCGTGACTGATCCTCTGCCCTGTGAATTCCCGGGGGGAGGGAGGTGGAAGATAGTGAGGTGGGGGGAGGCTGTGGGGAGCGTTTCGCTGAGCGAGTGAGAATGAATGTGGGTTGGCGGAGTGGACACCCTTTGCTTCACTGAGATCCTTGTACAGTACTCGAGCACAGTGCCGGTAGTCCCTTCTCTTGCACCAAAATACGGTATTCACCTCTTGGATGGTCCTACTGTACGAGTACTTTCTGTGGGTACCCAGGATGCAAATCTGCCGCTGACATCCTCCCGTGTTCTTGGTTCTTCTTCTCCCTGAACCCTTCCTTTCCCTTTCCACCTTCCTTCCCACTAAGAGCTTTTTTGTTTAAAAAGAAAACACTGCTCCCTCCTCCCTTCCACAATCCATTTTATCGGGGAAAAGGAGGAAGCCACCACAGATTCAACTACCCGCCCGCAAACAAACGCTCGTTTTTTTTTTTTTTTGCTCGGGTGTTGGATAAGGCAGAGCAGGAAGGCCAGAGGATAATGACAAACAAGCCGGAGGGTTGTATTAGGGTGCATCTTGGCAGCGCCCCAACACATGATATCTGAGGCTCAACCTTTCACCCCCACAAACTAGAAACCCTTTAATCTATCCCCTCCCCCGCCATAGCTCGCCGAAAGGAGAGCCCTCTCTCCTAGCTCCCGATCTTCCTCTTCACTCTTTTCTATAACTAACCCGACGGGGTATATCCGTCGAGCACACAGCAACCCCTCTTACAACTGCGCTACATCTCCTTCATCTCATCGGCACACAGAGCTCATCTCGCTCACCCCCCGCTCACCCTCCTCCCGATTTTCGTCCCATCATCGTACCGCCGCCCGAGCCAATTCACAATGGAAGGCTCTTCCAACATAAATGGAGTCAATGGCTTTAACGATCTAGATCCATGGGCCCAACAAGTCGAGTACCGGGATATCAAAGCCCAACAGCAATTGACAAAACAACATTACGGCTCGCCGGCAGGCACACCAACACACACCCCTCCTGCCGCCGAAGATGTAAAAGCAGGTTTGGCTGGCCTGGAGATAGCTCCGGCTCAGGATTTCGCGGAGATGGAAAAACTATCCAGAGACTACCAACCGGATCTTGAGGTTTGCCGTCTTGTTTCAGTGTTGGCTGGCTTTGGTTGATTGTTTTAGGGTCCACTTGTTGGAGCTGTAAAATCTAGCAAGGCTTTGGAGGTGGAGTATGCTGCCGCTGATCCAGCCTTTGTGAGAAAGACCGTGGTATGTCTGCCCTCACTGGTTTATTGATTTTGCTGATCCGGTAGGCACTTTCTCCTAAATACCCAAATTATCGCACCATACTTGGGGATGGTAACTGTGGATGGAGAGGTATGTGCTTGTATTTTCTGGGGCTGCTCCGGCTGCTCACGTTACCTACTAACATCTCTTTAGCTGTTGCCTTTGGATTTTTTGAGCTCCTATTAAAAACTGGGGACTCAAATCACATTGGCATGCAGTATGCCCGTATTGCATCTTTGAATGGTCTCATGATGCTTGCTGGTCTCCAGCCTTTCATCTACGAGGATTTCGCAGAGGTCACCTTTGAGCTGCTTGGAGCTATCGACTCTTCACCGGCGATTGATACCCCATGTGATGTTTCCATGATTGCAGACCGGTTCAATAATCAAGACGTTTCGGATGCCATCATAACCCATTTTAAGGTCAGAGCTTCGATCTTATAATGTTGTTTGGCATGGGCTAACGAATGTGTTCAGTTTCTTACAAGCTCTTGGATGAAGACTCGCCCGGAGTATTACCAGCCCTTTTTGGATCGCCCAGTTAAGGACTTTTGTGAAGCTCAGATCGAACCCTATGGTATTGAGATCGAGCATGTCGGGCTTATGGCTCTGATTGATTGCTTGGTCCTTCCTGCCGGGTTTGCGGTCGAAGTGTTTTACCTTGATCGTAGCGCTGGCGATGAGGTTAATGTGCACCGCTTTGCTGACCTCGGGGCTGATGGCAGTATTCCAACACCTCCTGATGCACCAGTGCTGAGGCTTCTTTATAGACCGTAAGTACATTCTTGCCGTATTAGGATGATAAATCCATCTAACCAAACAGTGGCCACTATGACATCATTTACAAGAAGGGAGATATCCCGGAGGAATCACCCCCATCGATTCAGGTTTCATTTCTCTCAAGTTTGCCTGAGCAAACATTTGCTCCTACACCCCTCGGCAGCCTACTCCACCATATACCTTCTTCCAACTTGGACCCCTTCCCCATAGAGCCCGGCCCGTCGAACTTCCGTCCCTCCATGTTCAATCTACCGGCTTTTCAACCTTCTCCCCTTCAGTCTTTACCTTTCCAGACTACCACGTTCCGTAATTCGCCCTTTAATCCGTCCCACTTCCAGAGTGAGCATTTCCAGCCGGAAATTTATCAACCCCCTACACCTACCTCACTCGGTGGAGCTAAACGTAGTTCTTCTGTTGAAAAGTCTTCCGGGGGGGGGTCGAACGAATGGGAAAACGCGCAGTATTCGAAAGATGGATATTGAGGACCAGATCATGAACACCCACCATGTTCTTGATTGTACCCATAGTGATGGTTGCATTGGGGATTTCTCTGCAACAGTAAATAGATGACGGGTGACCTGGTTTTCTTTTATTCCCTTTTCTCTCTCTTTTTTTTCCTTTAAACTCTTACCTCTGTCCTTTTTTTCGTGTTTTTTTTTCCATTTTTTCCTAGCTGCTTTGCTCCTTGTCTCCTGTTACCCCCCCCCCCCCCACCCATTTTGCTCCTATTCTGATTCAACCAGCGGGCAGGCGTAATCGTTTTTTCTTTTCTTTCTTTTCTTTCTTCGCAAAATCTAGTGTAACGAGGACCGGCTCTAGGTATTCTTTGTCTGCGATAGTTAAATAAGCATTTCCCCCATACCATTTGCCAAGAATGACGTAGGGTCTACGACAAGGATAGCTCATTTCTCTCTGCGAGGACCACAGTGGAGCCGGGCTGTTCAAGTGTTTCGACGTGCGAGTGATGGCCTCGTTTCGTCATTGGGCTAGCTTATATATACCAACTGTACCTACTGAACCCACAGGCTACCTAACCGCTGCTATCATCATTAACAATGTCTGCAGCAAGACGTGAGTGCCCCCTCCCTGCTTTTTTTCATTTTGACTTTTTTCCCAACTTCATAATTGTTACTCAGCGACTGTCGAGTGCTAAGGCTGGTGTCGTGGTCATTGGTTGTTGTGTTGGTATTACAGGCATAGGATTCACCATTCCTTCGTTGATCCTCCTCTCGGGAGCCATAGTTCTACTATTCCTACTACTACTAGCAGGAGCTTATGACAAAAGACCACTAAATCAGATATTCTTCCTGGAAGCGGACACCCACGACATACCCAACGCACCAGACAACCTCTGTCATTGGACGCTCTACAATGTACCTTCCCTCCCCTTGCTTACTAGCCCCGTCCCCTTCCACCTATCAGACACTTTCCAAGTGAAAGAAAAAGTAAAAAAAAGTAAAAACGGAAATATCTGAGCTAAGCTAAATAGTACTGCGACTCTCGCGACGGGAAAAATTACAATTGCCGCCCCAATAACGCTGCATACCCATTATTGCCCCAGCGGAACTTCGGCACGGAGACGAACATCCCGAGGGACTTTATTCGCAGTCCCGGGAGGTACTTCTACTTGAGCAGGTTTTTGTACGCCTTTTACGTTATTGATTTGTTCTTCGCGCTACTAGCGCTCTTTGCGGCGCTGCTAGCTACCTGTTTTCGAGTGGCAGGGTACTTCGCGGCTGCGGCGTCTGTGTTTGGGCTGTTTTGTATGAGCTTTTCCGCGGCAATAATGACGTTTGTTTTTCCCCATGCCCCTCCTTGGCTTTCTCCCTCGGTGGTTAATCATGGATGGTTAGGGCATGCTACGTCCTTGGACAGAGAGCCTTCCGAGATGATGGGAGGTTTGCACGGGTTGGTGCTAAGGTACTACTACTCCTGCAATCTTTCCCCATCGACGGGACAGTAATAACCATACATTTATCTATACACATAAACCAAGGCGTTCGCCTTCACATGGACCTGTGTCGTCCTCTTCTTCCTCTCGGGGCTGATGCTCGCCCTGGGCCTGCTGAAGAAACGCCGCAACACGGATAGAACACATCCCTCCAGAACCCGTTATTCGGGATTAGCATCCAGAATGCGCGGCTCCCGACACTCGCCCATTGACAGCGGATGCGCGGAGAAGGAGTACATCAGCGGAGTCGGCGGTGGGCACGGGAATAAACAAAGCTCTTACGAGCGTTTGGGTCGGAGTGGGACCGGACTGGGCAGTAGAGGGGCCAGCGGGGATGCAAGTAGTCAGAGGAGACTCAATACCGAGTATCAACCAAATAACCCGCCTATGGTTGTTAACTAGGTGGCTGAATGTTAGGGTAGATGGATGGGGGAGGGGGGTAATGTCTAGTTTTAAACGACGGGGGGAACCTCCAGCAAGTTTATCTCCTGCCCTGTTGTCCGTGGACAAAAGAGGAGGAGACAAAACTGTAGGACGTTGGTCTCGTAGAATGGGGTAATTTGGGGGCCACTGGGATGGGAGTATATATCAATTGAGACATGGTATTGCATTTGGGAAGTTTGTCTGTTGGAGTATAGTGGTCGGCGTAGTTGATGTATTATTGCATCGTTGGTCCCGTTCGACTGGCATAAGCGGGCGGGAGGCGAAATCACCCACCACGGGGTAGCCCGCCGAGGTCGGTATAGCCTGAACAACCCAACCCCATAACCAATAATCTCTCCCCTGGCCCCGGCGATGCTGATACCGACAAATACCACCCTCAAGGGGAGGAATACTTCCTTATATACCGTCCCTACCCCCATTGTCACGGCTGCCACAGCCGCCACGGCCCATAAACGGGCACCGCATACTCTTGATCCGACAATAGACAACGCGGACAGCACAGCGAGATGTATTCTAAAACCGCCCCACCACCGGACTTTGTGAATGCTATTGGATGGGCAGGCAATAGGGTAGGGTAGCCAATACGATATCGAGTGAAAAGTTTTTGGCATTCGGCTAGATTTGCTATAGCACTAGGGTACAGTACGAGTACCGAGTGATGCCATGGCCCGGCCCGATTCTGGCCCAGTATTATTTCCTGGCGATTATTTACAGTTCAGTAAAGTGCATATTGTCTGCTGATCTGCATTTGCTTTCCCGAATCCTGAGGAATTAGCGCCATAGCGGACAGACTTGTTGCCGTGTCCTATTCCTACTACACTCGAAGAAGAGAGGAGAAGGGAAGGGAAGGGAATGGAGGAGGGGGGGAGGATCCACACGTGGCCGATTACCTGCCATCCCATCAAGTATTAAAGCTGTTGTGATAGTCTACGATTACCTTTTCTTCTTCTTTTCTTTCTTCCCCTTCGTTCCTTTATGCAGGAGTGTGACGTGAGCCGTCCAGCGGTCGACTTGAGTACCATATTTGGGTCCTATTATTGTTATTATTATTATAGGTTGTGGATCGGGATTTAAAATCGTTACTGGGAGTCAATTTGTGGTGTCGGTTATTATACATACATACCTACGGTACTTGTACTATCACCACCCACCTGCCCCAGCCAGAGCTTATCCTATCGAACAGCGCAGTAACTTTACAGTACAGCAGAGTGCTGCACGGCAGTCTGGTCTACTGTCGATCCATTAGGGTTCAAAGTCTGAGTCTAAATCTGTTTCGGAATCTTTTTTTCTTTTTCTTTTTCTTTTTTCTTCTTCTCTCCATTGGTGATGCCCTTGTTGTGTGGTATGTTATGCGGGTGGACTACGTACTCGTATGCTTTCCTCTTCCCGATTTCTTGGGAGTTAGGCTGGTTATATGGTACGAGTACTTTGTGTTCCTCAGCGTTGGTGTGATGGTTGAGAAGGGGGGCGGGGAAGAAGTCCTCTGGCGGGGAGATTTGTACCAACTTACCGCTCAGGGTCTTTATGCTATGGAAGCATTTGATGTTGGGGTATAACGTTCGGACGTTAATATACCGCTACCCGTCTATCTACCCAACTATGCACCCCCCATATTGGAATTGGGGTTTCAGGAAGGGTGTGTGGATGGGATACATACATGCATATACATCACTCGTACCTAGTATATAGTATTATAGCTGCTTCTATTCTACCTTTGGACTGTGTAAGATGTGGCTAGCTGGCGGTATATACGGTATACGTCAACCAGGGGGTCGACCCACCCCGCCGGTTCTATGCCATGCCTATCTATCCCTCCCTGGCTCACGCTTCATACTGTACCCGGAACTAAAGAAAGGCAACTGCGGGGTCACGTAATATGCTGGGCTGAAGAGTAATTGAGCCAAAGTGCTATCACCCGCTTCATGCCACCTCCCGTCGACCTCCGGAGAATCAGAAAGAAGAGAAAGAAGAGAGGAAAAAAAAAGGTCTTTGGTTTGCTTCGCCTTTCCGCCTCGATGCGGCTACGTTCCGTGGTTAAGCTTGGTTTCCCGGGGGTAAGGGGGCGGGGTGGGTGGAGCGGGGAGTACGGCCAGGGGATATTTCTGGGTTGAAATATCCTGATCTTGATCATTGGTCGGTATTTCCTTTTTTATCCCCTTCCTTCTTTCCCATTTCCTCACCTTGGGCCGGTTAAGGTAAGCTAAAGTGAGTTTAGACAAATGTCACATAGGTTGTTAGGGCAGGTTCGAATTATCCCGGGTTATTGGAAACACTACTCGAGTAGCTGAGGATTAAATTTCGTGAGCGATTGATTGATGTAACCAACCTCACTTGTGGTCTGGAAATCCCGAATCAACCCCGGCTCCGTGCACAGCGGAGACGGTACGAGTACGGTACAGTGCAGGACTGTACCCTACCGTACCAGGCTTCCGTATAGGAATAAAAAAAACAGGAAAAAAAAAAAAGGGGAGCGATCCGGCAATAGCGAGCACTGATAAACTGCTTCGTTGTCACAATGGTATCCCAAGTCTGCCAAGGGACATTTCCATTCCAGTATCATACGATCCTTGTATGCATGGGATTATTTTTTGTCCGTAGTTATTTTTTTTTTTTTTTTTTTTCCCCAGAGCACCTCATTCAGACCCATAGGATAATACCGGTATACGAACGGAACTCGGCAGGATAACCCAGTGAGAACTGGGAATAAAAGGTGAAGGGGAAAAAAAAAACTCACTCCGGTGATACTACAACAGCTGTCCGTAGATCAGCGATCTGTTGGGTACTGTATGTATCATGCTAGTGCCGCAGCGTTGGCCGGTCAATCCGTGGTTCGAGTGATCCTGTGTGACCTTCGTTGGACCAATAGGAATGGCGTAGTATACCTCGGAGTACTCACGCGGAGCGAGAGAAAGTGTGAGGATTTAAATCTTGACATCCATCTCCCAGAACATAAAACTGACTTCTGCACCCCGCACCCCTTAATCCGCCGCCCGGCAATCAGCATGCATGAACGATAGGGTGTGATCTCGCACGGTCGACTCCCCTGGAGAAACTCGCTTCCCCTTCTTCTTTTCATTCTCCTTCCGCTATCACCGGCATATAATTTCATCGAGCATATTCCGTTCGGTTGGTCGTATAGGTGCAGGAGTATCAGATTTCCAATCTGGGGTACAGTACAGTACAGCGCAGCACAATACAACTCTTCAGTCCCACTGACTCACTCACTCATGAGCACCTCCGACAGATTTCGGTTGGGTATTGTATAGTGCACGGTGCTGCACTTGTCTCGCCTTGTTGCCTTCCACTTCACCGTACCGGTATGTTGATAGTAACCCGTCTGCCGCGCAAAGCGAGAGGGTGGAGGAGTGTTAAGCGAAGGCATGACATGCGCTGTCCCATTCTAAATACTCACATTCTCCTTTCCATTCTCACACTGCTTGGACAGCTCGCATGCCTACATAATGTAGGGAGATGCGAATTTCGTGTCCTGTTGTGTTATCAATCGAACCCGAACATCACGTCACATTCACCTCTCGGGGTGTGGCCGGTAATTAAGCCGTGAGTACGGTACGCTTTGTATCTGAGACTTTGGGGGGAGTGTACTGTATTGTATCCGTGGTATCTGAATGGTGAGGATGATGAAGATGATGGTGTTAACCGTCACCGTGCATCATGTTATGCAACGTGACACTGACAAATCTATTATATATCTCTACTAGTACTGTACGAGCACACTGTTGTTAAAGCAGTAATAGCATTTTCTTTTACCTTTTTGTTTCTTTTTTTGAAAATATCCCAGCTTACAAGATTCTAGCAGTATCTCTGTCATCATCCAACTCCCTGCCCTGAGCTCAAAGGGGATCGAATCACGCTAGATAGCCTTCTATCCAGATCATAGTCCATCAACATTTACATACCGGTCAGCATACGCCCGAAACTCTATAGCATCTGCTCGTATGATTGTAGAAACTCACCGGGCATGCTAACAAAGCGAAACAAAGAAAATAAATCACCTATATCCCTCCCCCACTCCTCACCCTCCCAATCTCTCCATTTCGTGTTTTTTCCCCTCCATCCCCCTCCCCAAACTTCCAAAGTCAAAACCTCTCCAGCCCCTCCCTCTCAATCCACTCCCTAATAACCCCAACGACAACTTTAACCTCCCTCCCCTCCTCACCGACAGCCCTCATCCTAGTGGCCAAGACCCGACATGGAAGTACGTCCCCCACCTTAACCTTCAGGTTGCCCTTCGCATTGATAAACCACCCACGCTCCTCTTCAAGGGTGAGACCGACTGAACTGGTCAAGATGCGCGGGATTTGGAAGTCAGTGGACGGGTGATCCACCATTGTGCCCGTGAGGCCGTCACTGTCGACTTGAGTTATGGTGATGGTGAGGACGTCGTCGAGGTTGGGTTGCGGAAATGGTGCCGGAGAGGTCAGCATTGGATGATGGATGGATGCTGGATGGATGGATGGGTGAGGCGCCGTCGGCTGGAAGAAGAAAAAGTAGTAAAAATCTAATTATTAGGTTGGAGTTTCTTTCTTTTATTTTTTTTTGTCACCCAAGTTCCTGTATTGTCGTGTTTGTGTTTGTGATGTTGGCGGGATTTGTTTTTTTTTTGTGATTTATTTTACCAGTTTGTGAAAATCCCCGCGTTGAGAATTGATCTCGGGGGTGGAAATAATTATATAGACGTGTTTTTTTTTCAAGGTTGAACCTTTCTACCGGATCTTGGAGGTAGGCTTGAAAGTAGATTTAGTATGATATGAGATGCATCCACCTAAACAACAGGGTGTCGCCCGCCCACCATTTAAAGCCCTCAAACCAAGCTGGCGTCCGGTAGTGCCCTGGTTGGAACAAATCTTGCGCCCCCCCTTCCCCGTCGTCAGATTCAAGAGAGGACCTTTGTACCCTATTCACCCCCCTCCATCTATCTCCTGATCCCGAGAGGCGATCATTTCCTCCCCGGATCCAGGAAGATGCAGCCGAAAGCATCCCCGGAAGAGGCCTTCACGACGAAATCCATCCATCACCTCTCACGAAGCCTCGGAAATTTGTGGGACAATAAAATGCTGCAAACCAAACAACGGGTTAGTATTTGCATGACTTTTCTCGTTCTAGTGGTGCACAAATTTACCTCTGGCTGACCAGCGTATCAAGAG